CACGGCCGGGCTGGGTGTCCCCTCCTGAGTGAGGGAGGGGAGGGTGGAGGGCACCTTCCCTTTGGACAGTGCCACCTTCTTTCACTTTCCACGCTGGAGGTCTATCCCCTGCTCGGCTGCTCGTCCCGTTCCTCTCCTCCAGCCTGGCTGTTAATGCTTTTTTTTTTTTCTTTTTGCTGCTACTCCCTTTATCCTGGGAATCAATGGACAGTGGTCTGTCTCCTGAGGCTGAGGTTTGTGTCCATCTCTCTCTTCCCCCATCCTTTTTCCCCCTTCCACTGCACCTCTGCAGATTCCATACTCTTACCTGCAAGAACTCAGTGCCTGTGTTAGAAATGGAAAAGCTGAATCAGCAAGCTGCCTTAAGCCAGGAGCAGGAGGGAAGAGAGAACTACCTATTGTTAAGCCCCAGGGGAGCTGATCTGCTGCTGCTGCTGCTGCTGTGTCCTGACCCTGCTGCGACAATGTGGAGCCCTGGGCTGTGAAGAGAGCTCTACAGAAGCATGCAACACTAGGGGTTTGGGGGTTGTTGGGGTTTTTTTTTCTATTTTTTTCAGTTTAATTTTGCAGAGCAGATGGAGGAAGTGGCTGGGGTCGGTTAACAGCGTCCTCTGATACCTTTCTCTAATGGCCGCTCACCAGCAGAGTTGTGCCAACAGGTAGCACGGCAGCTGAAGCAGCTGGCTACAACCAGAGATCATCTCTCCAGAGATCACAGCAGCATTTGGGTTATTTCTTTTTTTTGCAACACAAGATGGATGATATTTATGCAAATTCTCCCTCCCTCCGTTCTCTGTGCTGCCTCCTGATCCCATTTTCTCCTTCCCCAAACACCCCACCAGCAGAGTTGTGCCAACAGGTAGCACGGCAGCTGAAGCAGCTGGCTACAACCAGAGATCATCTCTCCAGAGATCACAGCAGCATTTGGGTTATTTCTTTTTTTTGCAACACAAGATGGATGATATTTATGCAAATTCTCCCTCCCTCCGTTCTCTGTGCTGCCTCCTGATCCCATTTTCTCCTTCCCCAAACACCCTGAGCTTTCAGATGTGCACTGAAATTGGCTGTGCTTCAGTTCTCTGCAGGTCAGTGACTGTTCCCCTCGCCCGTCTACTCAGCAAATGCTCTCTTCTCGTTTTTATTTACCTGGTCAACATGAACTGCAGTTCTGGGGAGGGGGGGGGGATTGAGCAATCACACCTCAGGGGAGCACATACCCCCTCCCTCAAGCCAAGGGTTCTGCCAGGGGCAAAAAGGAAAAAAAAAACAAAGAGAAAAAAAAAAAAAAAAAAAGCCCAAATGAACCACGTTGACTTGCCCTGGAGTATTTTAAGTGCGTATTATGAAAAGAAAATATTTTTATGGATTCTTATTCTTTTATAATTATGAGTGTAAGATGTAGCGACTCATTAAAATACTGGAAAGAATCAGGCTGGCTGGGATTTGTGCCTGGTTTTTGGAGTGCAGGAGAGGGCTCGGGAGGAAATGGCAGCTGGCTAACGCTAGCCAAAGCCGTCTCTGTGGTAAAAACAAAGTGCTCTGTTTGGTTTCTGTGCCGAGCAGTGGAGAGAATATTAAAATCCCTGATGATCCTTGGGGGGAAGCACGATCCAAGCCATTGAAGATGCAGGTTGGAGAGTTGGGAATCCCAGGCCATGTTCTTGGCTCTGCCATGAAGATGCTGCGTGACCTTGAGCCAGTCACACATCTCGTGGTTGCGAATACCAGCGGCAGCGCTGGAGGTCGGTACCTCGCCCAGCATCCCAACTCCCTCCGACTTCCTAGGGGGATGCAGCTGCTCTGATCCAAGCTCCTCCAAGCCCTCGCAGCTCTGATCCCATGCTAGGACACGTGGAGCTGCTTTGTGCAGGTGCTGGGCCTGCCTGTGCTCGCCCTCGCTGCAGTTTAAAGCTTCCAAAACCTGGCCTTGCCGTTTCCCTGTCCCTGCAGGAATCGGGCATTAATTAAACTGCTATTAAATACCCTGAGGGTGCAAGCTTGGAGGCTTCTGTTTTAAATGCAAAGCATCTTCCAGCTGGTGCATTTTTGCTTTCTGAATATGACTGTGAGCATATTTGTTGCCCCTCTTTTGTCCCTGTGCCCAAATCATTGGCCTGTCACAGTTGTGTTTTAGCTTCTGCTGCGCGCCCCGTTGAGTAACTTCTGGTGCAGCTTTTGAGGTCGGAGGGGCGGAAGGGGATAACGTGATGGAGGAAATTGCACATCTCTCAAGAGAAACCTGCAGCCAGAACACTTGCTCCCCTTTCCCCTGCCTTCTTTAGAGCCGGGTGGGTGCCAGTGGATGGTAAGAAGCTTTATTTTGCAGGGTTTGTTTCTTTTCAGTTTTAATTTCAACTGCTTTTTTTTTTTCCCCTGTCCCAAAAGAGCAAGTGTTACTTTAAAATGTCTGCAACGCCTTCTTAAAACGCTCTCGTCTGCAAGAGTTTACAAATCTGTCAGCTCCTTTGATCCTCCAAGCTTGTTTCTGAAGCTGTAGGATTATTTGACGCCATAAAAAAAAAAGGGGGGTTTGGTTTTCTTCTTTCGGGGATTGAGAATCCTGAGAGGCATTAACTGGGAAATCACCTACCGCAATCCTGAGCTTTTCAATATGTAACAGGGCTCTGCCAGGGATTGAAATACAAATGATGTGGGAGGCCCCCACCCAGCTCTCCTGTGGGAAAGGTGATGGGAATACGAGGCACGGTGCAGCTGGGTTCACGGGATCTCTTTTGGAGAGAGGATTTGCAGCTGTAACGTGAAGTTGAGTGAATTTCCTGAGCGAGCGGTAACGGTCGGAGGAAGCAGCGGGTGCTGGGGAAACCGGGCAAAAATGATTCTTCCTCAAGAACTAAGCATGAGAGCAGCTTGGGAGGCATTTCTCCCACGAAAACCCAACACGTGGGGCTTTATTTTTAGGTGGAGGATGTATAGGGAGAACAGATGTTCTTGATGACTTATTTTTAAAACAAAAACACTGCTCGAGCTACAGAATTAGCTCAGAAAAGCCATTGCTCGCTCTGAACGATGCTCGAATGGAAAACTTCCCGGCATCTCCATTCCCAAAGCGTGTGGAATAAAAGATGGGATGACTGCTCTTGCTCTTGGAAAGCCACGTCCATGTGTTTGGTGATGAGGGGTGTCTCAGGCACTTGATCTCTGTCCCGTGCTGAGGCTCTGGGCAGTGTGACTTTGCAGAGCAGTGTGACGAGCTGTGGGCTGTGTGATTTTGCAGAGCAGCACCCGCAGAATAACTCAAGTTGCTCAGAAATACCAGGGTCCATCAAAGGAGGTGTGGGGCGTGCGGTGGTGATGTGAGGAAGACAAATGGCTGCAGCGGTGACAGGGGCCGGGCTGGAGCTGAGGGAGGGCTGCGTGTGGATGCTGGCAAAAATAAAGGGTGTAAATTGATATTGGAAAAAACCTCACGGAGGGATTTTGGTGAAGCACGTAGGCACGGGCATCCCGCCTTGGTGTTGGGCCAGATGCGAGGCTTCAGTCATTGGCGTGGAGCAGCAGCTCCTCTGCCTCCTCACCTCTGTAGAAAACCTCTTATCTCTGGTTCCAGCTCGAGCCCTTTGCTCGGAGGCTGGTGCAGATTTCTGCTGGTGCAGATTTCTGCCGCCTTTCAAGTGCAAACAGCTTTGTCTTGGCTCAGCAGCCGCTGCTCTTGCTCCTCTGGGCTCTTCTGCTTTGCCTCGAGTCCCAAAGCTGCCCTGAGTTGGAACTCGGAGGCTGAGTTGTCTCCAGTCAACAGGCAAAACTTGCTCCAGGGGGATCTGGATGTGACCCTGCCCTCCCTGCTCATCCCTGCTGGGTGCCCAGTCCCCAAGCAAGGGCGGTTAGATGTGCTCAGTGGTACAGGGAGAGCTGCTGTGGAGGGGGATGCTGCTGTGGGAATGGGGAAGAGGAGGCTCTTCCACCCTTCCCAGACCTCTTCCAGGGCAGGATCTGGTGCTGTGGTGGCAGAGAAAACCAGTGGGGTTTTGCAAATAAAGTGGGGAGAGGCCGTAGGGAGCGTAGTGGGGCAGGGTGTGGGGAGAGCCAGCACCATCCCTGCTGCTCTCGCTGCCCTTTTCATCTGCGTTTGCCTCGTTCTGGTGTCCAGGCTCTGCTCTCTTGCAAAGCTTCTTGTTCCTCTCCTAAAAAGGACAGTGAAATGCCACCCAAAGGACGGCTAAGACCTCCTAAAGCTCCTGTCAAAACACCAGCACGGCCCTGCACAAGCTGATCCAGCTGCAGGAACCAACGGGTCTCTCTTCCCTCTGGCTCAGCCGCTCTGTTTGCATTTC